ACTTGGGCAATTCAATGTGCCCTTCAATGACCTAGTGGTCTGTTTTACTGGACTGTGCATAACATAGGAAATTGTATGTTGTTATGGTTGATGCTTGGGATGAGTATGCTACAAATGAATTGCCTCATGTGGGATTAATAAAGTTGTCTTGAATCAATAAATAATATTTTAGGGTAGCCTACATGTCCCTAGCTTTTTTTTTTCTTTTTCATTTGAAAAAAGTTGAACACAGGGCTCCAAAGGCTCCAAGTCAGACAGCAAACAAGTGAACTAGCTACAGTAGCTACAGTATCTTGCTGCTGTTTAGCTAGACCGTTGGTGGACAGTTCACAGCACAGCTAGACTAGACTTGCCAGGCATGCTGCTCATGTGGATGGACCCACACTACCAGTGCTGCTCACGTCTTCCAAGTTCAACAGATTGTCTGTCAAGCCTATTGTATAAATACATGGTGATGATAGTTATAATATCAAGCTAGCGATGCTTATGCTAACTGTCTAGGTTAGTGCACTACTCATGGTCAGTATTTGCAGTATGCAAATTTTGAGCATTTTTGGTCAAGGACTTTTTGAGTTATTCACAAAAAGATTTGGATCGGTTAGTATAGTGCCACCTATGGACGAATCGTGGGCATTCTTTCTGGTATAGTTACTCATGGTCTCTAATTGTAGCATGCAAATTTTGAGCATTTTTGGTCAAGGACTTTTTGAGTTATTCAGGAAAAGCTTTGTGGACCGACCAACCGACCGACAGACAGACAGAGAGACCTACAGAGCTGTGGGTCGCTGCTAAAAAGGAAAAGAAAAAAAGGATTTTCTGTATTTGAAAATACAAAATACATGTATTTTATTTTGATACATTTATTTGAGGGGTATTTTGTATTTTGTATCAAAATACATTTTGATGTATTTTTGCCCATCTCTGCACGTTAGATAAATCATAGTATCGATTGCACTAAGTCAGGAAAACGTGTTTGTTAAAGCTGTGCGGTACTGGGTGAAAAACACAAAGTGAACACAGATGCATGATCTGTTCAAATCATTATGCAGATTTAAATTTGCTTGAAAAAAAATAATGTCTATACATGTGTACAAAAAAGATACAAAAAAAAAATGAGTTATTACCACATATGCATAGTAAATTATAGATTCTGGTGTCCATGGTTTTCAGGGGGCTGCTGACCCTGGGGCTTTACTGCCACTGTTAAATTTGACAGTACTGTACTCCACGCTGTCCACCTTCTCCCTCTTGCGTATTTGGAGGTGAGCTGGTATGGTATTGGAGTAGAGAGGATCTGCTTGTTTCTTCAAGAAGCTGATTCTGGCATAGTGAATGTTATCCTCCTGCTCTGCTGGTTGTTTCTATAGATATAAGACAAATATGGTTACTTGTAAATTTGTGCAGACGATCCTGTGACAAACAGAAGTCATAATAACTGACAGTTACAGAGATAGAAAGAAAGGAAAAGATCTTTGGCAGAACGCTCAAAAAATCTTTAATCAGGTTTCATAGTAGCTCCGTTATGTGTTCTTCCTCCAGTCACATAACAAATGGAATAAATCAGAATCTGGTTACCTGTAAAAACAAATACTGCCATTTTGTTTTGTTTTTTAATTGTAAATATTACATCGGTCCGCAGGGCACTATGTTTCACACGTTTTAAGTCACAAATTAAACTACAAAGAATAAAAATGAATAAAATGTGACTAAAGCCAGTTTTGTTTAAAGCCTGAGACTACATCTAAAATGGCTGCCAAAGTTAATCAATCAATCAATTAATCAAATTTTATTTATATAGCACCTTTCAAAACAAATCAATGTCATTCAAAGTGCTTTACAATTTGATTGAAAATTACAGAGAATAAAAAAGTAAAATCAGAAAAAGGACTGGATCAAAACTACTGTGCTGCTACTAAAAAAAAATTGGAAAATTTTAAATATTTAAAATAACATGCAGGATAAAATATAAAACAAAAGTCAGGAGAATAGCAATAATAAAAATTAAAAAATTAAAAAATAGCAATAAGACAAATACAGATAAAAAGTAATAAATATAATAATTATAAAACAATAAAACTAACGTAGGACACTACATAAAAGCCAAACTAAAGAGATGGGTTTTTAGCCTACATTTAAAAGTGTCAAAGTTTCTGACTCCTCTCAGATCCTCCGGTAGATTGTTCCACAGTTTTGGAGCATAGTGGCTGAAAGCAGCATCACCAAATGTTTTTGTTCTACTCTGTGGGACAGTTAAAAGAGAGGAGCCAGAGGATCTGAGGGGCCTTCCTGGTTCATAAAATAGAAGCATCTCTGAGATATAGTCTGGTGCAAGCCCATGCAGTGCCTTAAAAAATAAAAGAACTTTAAAATCAATATGAGAACTAACAGGCAGCCAGTGCAGGGATTTTAAAATAGACGAAACGTGTGCTCTCCTTCTGGTCTGAGTTAGACTCACAAGTCGGTCTTTAGACGCTTTGCTTAACTAAAGACTGATGACTTTCTCCCTGATTTTGTGTTTACATGGGCGGATACAATTTCAGAGTTTAAAAAAACTCCCTACGTTGCAGAACCAATAGCAAATCTGCAGGGCGGTCCTTCGGTGGCTCACTGAACTCTTGTGCTTGTAAACATAGTCCCACTAGAAACACGTGTAGCGGTACAAAATGGCTCAGCCGTGCTCGCAGAAAACGCCGTCAAAGTTAGTGGATGTTTGTTGCGTTTGTGGCGACACATTCTCGCCAACTAAAAGAAACAAACATAATCTTTTACAAGGCCATGACTCATCTGTCCGGCTGGACTATAGAGGGAATTGCCTTGTTGTTTACAAATACTTCCGGGTAGAAAACCAGCAGAGCT